ATTTCCATTTTCAACGAATTAATTTAAAATATAGTATTAGTTATATTATGTTTGCATTGTTTATTCGAATACCAGATTTGAATATCAATTTGTTTCGCTTTAAATAACTTTTATATTTGGCAATACAAAATAGTACAAATTTAATCGTATTGATTTCTAATATTATCTTTCTCTTTTTCTTTTGTTTTGAATTGGTCCTGCCAGCTTAATATTAAGCTAGTACCGTCACGATTTTTTTCGAAATAGTACACGGTAAAAAATTATTATTAATGGTACAATTTAGTACAAAATGAGTACTAAAAATTCCAATAAGTCCGATTTGGTCCTGCTGGCTTTATAGAGCTTGATGCAACGAAATAATATGCGTTTTCTCATGAGTGCATTATAATTTTTGCGACAATAAATCAATTTCTTCTAGTTGCACCTTTCCGCATTTTTCGTCAACGAAGTAAAATGGATTTAAACATCTTTCGAAAAAAGAAAAGAAAAACCGTATATGAAGTATCGCTATGAGAGAAGCAAGCAATTGAGACTTAATTAATAAATGGAATACGGCAAAATTAGCGATAGAAATAGTATGCGATTTAAACTTTAGATAAGTTTACGATAAAGTCACGTGCTAAACAAGTAGATTAAAATATCGTGGGCTTAATACGATGTACAGTCTCGTATTTCCAAAAGTTTGGATCTTTATAGCAATACAAAATATTATTCAGTACAAGTATTCAATTAAAGATCATACATTCCAAATTATAATATTTCTCGGAATATTTTTCCATGTAATATATTTCTCAGAAACACATCTTCTTTTCTTAGTCTACACTTTCTTTTGTTAGTTGTTACTTTACGCAAGCTATTTTCGCGCATAAAGCTAACAGACTAAAGTCTGATGTAAATACGACGACAGTCGATCTCACTTTCACTCTCTTGGTAATCCACCTCTTTTCGCATACATACTGAATAATATTACGTATATATTCGAATACACTGAAAGAAAGAAAAATCCACATACATTAGAAGTAGTGATGTGATATAACGGAGACATCTAGAGAGCAATATGACGCAAAGATGAAATTTCAAATACATATGGACAATTGAAAAAGGAAATAATATCAATTAATTTAATTGATATTATTAAATAATTAATGTATTGCTTCGTTGAATTGCTATATTTATTCTGTAAGATGCGTTAGCAGATAAGACGAGGAAGCGGAAATAGAGAGTAAAAATATGCGCTTTGCTATGTGCGACTTTTGGCACGAGATGTTATATAAAATTACATCCGCCCACTTACGATTTGAAAGTCGTCATGTTCTTGTATATCGGAAATATAGTAGTAATCGAGGAAATGCACTTTTAGTAAGTGCTTGTTACTGATTGAATACATAGAATTTAATGCAATTTATGTGTATAAGGAATCCTTATCAAGATTTACATCAAAATGTTAATAAATTATTTATTATTATATATGAAGGAGTATTATACATATTATGATATACAAAAATAAATACAGGATATTGATTGATAATATAATCGGTGTTTAATGGAATAAATTAAATGAATAAATTAATATTTTGACATTATCTTACATACAAGTAGAATGGCATCGCCATTAAAATTTTTAGTTTCTTGACTTTGAAACACTCAATGTTTCTGACATATTAATATATATTTTTTCAACATACACAAAACACTCTCTCTCTCTCTCTCTCTCTCTCTCTCCACGTGAGTTGTTTATTAATTAATACTTATACTTAAATTTGTAATGAGAGAGTCTTTTAGACATCATATTTGACAATATCTCATTAATTTTTATAATGTGCCTTTATATCGATTACTGATTTCTATTAAAAATATTATTATGCAAATCTTACACACAGAGATCTACAAACAGAGATTTTTTATCAAGTTTCCATAAAAAAATGATGAAAATTGTACGTGAACCATGCTTGCGAAAAATGAAAATAAGATATCTAAAAAACCTGATATTTTAAGATGTGTTATAAAAAGGAAAAAAGTAAAAAAAAGAAAGCTTAGTGGTAATTTTTGTATGATATAATTGGCATTTTAGTTATATCTGGATACGACGAAATGATGTACAACGTATAATTCCAAAATCCAATTTTATTCATTTCGTTTCTGTCTGGTACTTCCCTTTCCCTTCATTCGCCAATCTTCCTTGATAATGTCACTGGCTTTCTCACCGATCATAATAGTCGGCCCGTTCGTATTGCCGCTAACAATGGTAGGCATTATGGAAGCATCGACGACCCTGAGTCCCTTCACTCCGTAAACTTTTAATCGCGGATCCACGACAGCCTTGGAATCGCTCCGCGGTCCCATTTTGCAGGTACTCGTTGGGTGGTAAGTTGTAAAGGTGAAGTGTCGTATGGTGCACTCCCAATATTCGTATGTATCAAACGGATATATGTGACAGCCCGGCATACGAATCGTGTGAGGTCTCGAGCCGAATCTCTGAAATGCGCTGGTGTTGGATACCCGCATCGCCAATCTGATCCCTTCCACGAGGACATCTATGTCCTCCTTATGCGTAAAATAGTTGGGATTAATGTCCGGATGAACTAAGGGGTTTCTGCTCTTCAACCTGATCCAACCTGTGCTCTTGGGTCGCAGCAGAAGCGGCAAAATTGACCAAGTCTCGACATTGTGCAAAGGCTTGTACATGATATTGTATACACGATCTCTCAGACCGAGAATCTGTTTTATTTGTTCGCCGTCGGAGTTGATGGAAGTTGGCGTAAAGTGAAACTGTATATCCGGATAATCACCGGATTTGTCAGCGTATTTAGTATTAAGAAAGGCTAACGCCTCGATTCCTGGGGTGGTCAGGGGTCCTTGTTCCTTTACGATGTACTCAAACATCACCGAGAAGGTTTGAAATCGTTCTCTTATTAAAGTGATCGACTCGTTCACCAAGAAAGTCAGTCCACCAAGGCCCACGTGATCTTGAAGATTATCTCCGACTCGTAAGTCTGATATCACAGGTATACCAAATTCAGTCAAGTGCTCGCTGGGACCGATTCCGGACAACATGAGTAATTGAGGCGAATTAATGGCGCCGGCGGATAAGATAACTTCTCTTCTGCATCTTACGATTCGTTGTTTGCCGTCGCGAAGAAATTCTACACCCGTTGCTCTTTTTTCGGCGTTGAAGAGCATCCTCAAAACCTGAGCGTGCATTGCTATATGCAGATTTGGTCTATTCTTAATCGGTCGTAAGAAGGCCTTCGCTGTCGAGCATCGACTGCCACGTCGAATCGTTGCTTGTATCAACATAAAGCCACTTTGATTGAATCCGTTTATGTCGCGATTTTCGTAGCCCATTTCTTGACCAGCCTGCAAAAAAGCGATCGCCAGAGGAGTTCTCCAAGACGGTTCTTGCACCGTCAGATAACCTCCTGTCTTGTGGTAAGGTGTTCTTGCTAAATACGGATTACGATTGTCCTCGGACTTGAGGAAATAAGGGAATACTTCCTCATAGCTCCATCCCGTGTTACCCAATCGAGCCCAGTTATCGTAATCGTGCCTATAAGCAATGTCTCATTAATTGTTTGATCGTCTTCAACTTGCTAATGTGACAGTCTTAGCAATAAAAGTGAAATAAATATACTTGCCTATTACCACGAACATAAATCATAGCATTGAGAACGCTGCTTCCTCCGAGAACTTTGCCGCGGGGCCAGTTACATTTGTCGCCTATCATGGCAAGACAATAGGCGGATATTCCAGGTGGTGAAGTCTGATACTTCCAATCGAATTCTGTCTGCTGATTATAACCAGCAAGCAGGGGAACATCCGAAATTTCATTCTCATCACCGCCAGCTTCTAAAAGTAGCACCGTCCAATTAGGTACTTCCGATAATCTCGAGGCCACCACAGCACCCGCGCTGCCACCTCCAATCACTATGAAGTCATACATTCGTAATATCTGAAATCGCATTGTTATGTAATTCAAGTATAGTACCAAATATACGTAGAATTATACAAGTATTTGGAAGAATTTGAAAACGAAACATAACATAATGTAGTTAAGTGTATTCGAGAATGTATTGTATTAATATTAGACATTCGTTCAACTACCAGAAGGGTGATTCGAACTGATAGAGTGGTAGTAGTAAGCATATTTACAAAGTTGACTAAACCATTATTTATTAAATGAATGTAAATGTAATATTTATAAAGTTAACTAAATTATTATTATTAATATTATTGGTAGTAAGCGAACGTAACTGTATCAATTAAAATAATTTTATAAGCATGATGAAATAAATCTACAGTACAATAGATTGATTTTAATATTTGATTAAACTGTTCTATAAAATAACAGGAATTCAATAAATTGTTGATGGTAACAATTTCAGGGTAGACTTGACTTAATTGTTTTTATTATCATATATATGCGCAAAGGGGAAGACTAATTTATATTATTCTGTGATATAATTCAAGTATTTAATACCAGAAGAATATTTCGCGCTCTGAAACTGTCAACTCGTAAGCTAATTTATAAGCGACGATTAACTTCGTGTTTATTTCACTTGTGTGTCACTGATCTAACGATCCTAGATTTATTTGGTCGGTAATTAATAATGAATCTTAAGCACTACTTTATCGACTGTATGAAAGAAATTGTTTGAATTCTATTCAATTTATACAAGAGTATTAATTTATACAACTCTTCTACTCTTCTTTTTCCTTTTTCCTTTCATACCTCTCGCGCATTTTGCGGATGTGATTCTGGATCGAGATTATTGTATCTATAGATGGTGAGACCGATGGCCAAAAGTGGAATCAAACCGAGTCCAAGAACGGAAGTAGTGCCGATTAAGCTTGTTAATATAGCTGCCATTTCCGTTTGTATTCATCACCAAGCATATCAATATTTGAATGCGACATTCGAGAAAATTATTCATTCGAGCGATGAAAAACATGAGTCGTCTGTGAAAATAAACCATTAATTAATTTTACTAATAAAAAAAAAA